CTAAGGATCTCTCTCTCTCTCTCTCTCTCTCTCTCTCTCTCTCTCTCTCTCTCTCTCTCTCTCTCTCTCTCTCTCTCTCTCGTGTGTGCGCGTGCGCGTTTGCAGCTCTCTCTCTCTCTCTCTCTCTCTCTCTCTCTCTCTCTCTCTCTCTCTCTCTCTCTCTCTCTCTCTCTCTCTCTCTCTCTCTCTCGTGTGTTCACGTTTGCAGTCAGCATTGACGTGCCCCCGTCCTCTTCTCCCTCCCCCACCTCCTCTGTCCCCTTCCTGTCCCTTTTGCCTCTCCTCCTCTCTCTGTTTATCATGAGTGTCTTGGTATCTGGTGACCAATGTCAATGGAGGTGTTTGGATGTGGTTTGGTACTGTGCTATTTGCAGTGAACCTAAGCCAAAGGTTTTGAAGACCAACTCACTGGCCAGTGCAAAGCATACGTCTCCATCAAACGACAACTCAGCAGCTGCTCCTGCAACCCCTCCAGCCATGCCCCCTTGCCCTGCATCTGGACAGCAAATGATGGTCAGGACCGCCGTGTCCGGAAAAGTTTCGTTCCAGGAGAGGAATACACTGGATTACTTTGCATGGGGAGAGGTAGCACAGTTTGTCAAAGGAAGACTGCCCCCTCTTCAGGCTGCTGAGCTATTGCCTGTATCTGGTCCTATTGCCCAGCTTGCGGTACGTTTTTCGCTCTAACAAGGGCGTGTGATTGGTTCTCCGCCGCCTCCAGCAGTATGTGTTGCTTTCTTTTCTGCTCGAGACTTTGCCAAAACCATCCCATAATAATCTCTGGGGGGAAAAAAAAAAAACTCTGAAAAGCTACGTCACCAGCGTGGCCCGGGACCACTTGCTTGGCAGGGCCAAAAATACATTAAGGAAAATAAAATGTATATATTTTAATTTTTAAAATTTAAATTTTAAATTATTTTTGAATATTTTTTCTTATTTTAGTTGTTGCTTTTAATTTGGCAAAGAATTTGGATCTGACCCTGAGGCAAAAGTTGTTCAGTTTATTTTTGTGCACGACGTAGTTTTCTCAGTTTTTTCAACTTTTTTGCGGATTGTTTCTTTTTTTTCTTTCTTTATTTTTTTCTTTATTTTTCTTTCTTTTCTTTTCTTTTTCTTTTTTTTCCCTAACCCACAACACATTTTTTTACCATGGAGCTTCCCTGGCCCTTGCCCAGCCAGGCTGCCTGCGCAACCAATGTGACCTGGGCGGCGCGGTGTGTAACACAGCTGAAAGAAGAAGAAGAAGAGAACAAGTTCTGAACAACCCATATTTTCAAGTGTGGAAGCCCACACAAATTTCTTTTGTGATTGTTGAAATCACAGTTTCACCCTCGTTTTCTGTGTATTACAGTAAGAAGCACAACAGACATTATACAAAATTGTTCTGCATTTGCTGTTCTTTTTTCTCTCTCTCTCTCTTTTTTTTTTTTTTTTTTTTTTTTCAGAAATGCCTAGGTTGTTGTAGAGGCCCGGTTCCAGACATAGGATGGTTGCCGTCATCAGTCAGCCATTGGTTGTCCTGTATTTGGACTTCACACTGTCCCCAAAATTATTGAGCTCACTAACATCATGGTCTCTAGTTGGAGCTGTTAGACTTTGACTGCAAGGCACGGTTGCGATTGCCGGCCCATCACAACTTTTCTAGGTCGGCTGAAAAACGCTGGAATTCCTTGGCGCTTGAAAGAATCGACAGTCACACAGTCTGCAAGGGGAAGCCGAGTGCTGTATCGAGTATGCACTTCTATGCACGTGAAACGGTTTTCACCTTTGCAGAGGCAGATGCAGATCCCAGGATTCGATCCCCAGACCTTACCTTACCCATGTACAGTACCGAGTTGACCCCTGAGTGTTTGAACCCGTGACCTGTGTATGCGCAAACAGTTGGTAGGCTGTTTTAGGTCCATAGGTTGTAGGGGATTCGATCTGTAGACCTATTGGATAGGAGTCTTAGGGAGTTCTAGAAGTCGTAACTTTAGACTTCCCGAAGGGTCAAGGTCGTAGCTGCTAGTCCAGAAAGGTCAAGGTTGTGGCTGCTACCGTATCGAAAGGCCAAGTCTACAGCCTTCCGGAAGGTCTGAGTAGTGGCCTTTCGAAGTTCCCCACGTTTAGGCTGAGGCAAGTGGGCAAGTGGTGAGGCAAGTGGTGTAGTTTACCCGTGCTGAGTCAGCAGTCCCAGTCCTAGGCAGTCCTGGTCCAGTCAAGCAAGTACCGCATGGGACTGTGTGCACTACGGGCGTGGGAAAGGACCAGACCAACGAGCTGCAGAAGTATAAAGCAAGAGGCAGCGCCCAGTCATTCATTCATTCCTGCGGAAGCCATGCGGAAGCGCCGCCACAGTGACTTGTGCGAGGTGGTCTGCAGAGGAGCCTGAAGTCGAAGTGGGCTGAAGGGAGTTAGCGCAGTCATAGCTGCTGTAGTTAGCGTAGTTGGCGGCCATAGCTGTCGTAGTTAGTATAGGTGCGTATGCGTGAGTGTTATAGAGTGTGTGCGTGGGGTATCCAGGGTGATCCTAGTTGAGTGTGCGTGTACAGCAGGGTGAGGCGCAGTGACGAACAGAGGGTTGTACAGGCGCTGTTGCGCCATAGCCATTTGAATCGAGAGTGTATCTGAACTGTGTCCGTGGTTACCATATCTCTGAGCTTTGAGTGGGCGCTTGTCGCCAGTTTGCTGTATTGCCTGTTTACATGCATGCGAAGTGTGAATGATTGCGAGTCTGATTGCACACGGAAGTGACGGAACTCAATAACAAAAAGGGTGGTGGTGCAGAGCACTTGGTCGCGTTACTGCCTGCTGCTCCCTCACAGGCAACTAATGGCTTTGGTGCATTAGGCTGCAGCACATGAGTTGAATGACTTCTGTGTACAACTTTGAATCTTGAACTAATGCACCCTCTCTCTCTCTCTCTCTCTCTCTCTCTCTCTCTCTCTCTCTCTCTCTCTCTCTCTCTCT